GGCGGCCGGGAGGGGCCGGGCCGGGCCGGCGGCTGGGCCCGCCGCGGGCTTCCAGCTCTGAGGGAGCGCCAGGCCTGGCTGCGCTGGCGAGGGGTGAGCCCAGATCTCTGGCCTGGCCGGGCAGCGATGCGCTGCTGTGAGGCGCCTCCTTCTCAAGCCAGCTCCTTCCCCCGCGGGTCCCCTGCTAGCCCCGGGCTTGGCAGGACGCGGGGATTTCGGACAGGCTGGTTGCAAAACAGCTGGCCTCGGGGGGCTGGCGGGGGGGGGGGGAGGCGGAGATCAGGACAGGCAAAGAGGGGAGGAGGCTCCTGGGCTAGGGGGGGACGAGTTGGGCAGGCATTAGCTGCGGGGAGATACGGTCGGACTTTATACGTGGAAAGGACAAAGGTGTGTCTCGCCTGAAGTAAGCTGGCGTTTTTACTGGCTGCTGAAAATGTATCCCGCTGCCTGATCGTAAAATTCGAGCTCTGGTGTGACACGTGAAAGTATCTGTCTGCTTAGGCTTTGGGGGTTTGTGTGAGCTTTAGTATCGTTTTTTAAGCTTGTTCGATAGCCCATTGTTTCTGAATCGGCCTGCCCCTTTCTTCACGCTAAGGGCACTATAATTGGCTTTTGTTTTTTAGCTGTTGTCTTGAGCCGTAATCCCCTTTCTTTATATAATCAAACCTGAACAGATTTCCTGTAGGGAGGTGGACATCCAAGCAGTGCACAGTAATCCACTTTGGTTTCTCTTGAGTTCTCGCTGGGTCACAGTCAGGTTTGGAACGTGGTTAAACTTCTTATCTGGTCCGATCGGTCTTATGTACTGCCCTAAATCTCAATATTCAAGCAGAACCAATGATCAGCAGCACAGCAGAGCTCTGAAAATGCAAACTCGTCAGAAAACATTGTTGTTCAAATTTAAATGAACTTAAAGCAGTCGTTGTGGCTTCTCTTTGTGATGGAGGTCTTTCCATGCTCCCCCCGCCCCGCCCCGCCCCCGGCTTCTAGGTCTACATGTTTCCCAGACCATCTCTTCCTTTCCAGCCTCCACCCCTTTCCCTTTTCTTGCTGGACAAGAAAAAAAAGGAGATGCAGTTCACCCTTTATTGTAAGATCCTGTGATGGGATGTTGTGATTTCATCTCTTGAGTTTTTACATTTAAATCAGCTTATTGCATTAGATCTAATGTAGGTTTTTGCAGTCTGTCAGGGTTTAAAGGTGGTGTGAACTGTGGTTTACTCCACTATGTGGTATCTGTATTGTTTGTTTACATCTGAATAGCTACATTAGTTATCTGCTTAATCTAAACTAAAATTCAGTGGAAATGTGGAAGTAGTAATTTTGCTCTACCAGCTGCTACTTTCCCCTAAAACGAGAAGTTTAATGAAGCCATTGAGGGGGAGGAGCAAATCCCTAACATGTTCTTACAAACTAACTCATGTTCTCTGTGCTACTGTTGCTTCCCCTGTTTTTTTTTAAAGTTACTATGTAAGGCCTACACATAATATTGATTAATTTTGTGGATTATTTTAAAATATAATCTGGGTGTAGATTTTGTGTCCTCTAGTAAAAATTACAGTTCTGTATATTGAGATAAACTCTTATGTTCAGGCATCACCAGATGATGTGATATGACATGACACTAGTTGCTTTGGGATATTAGAAACAAATAACCCCACCAAACCCTATGAAACAGTTCAGCAGCATAATATGGTATGTAGGAAAATCACTTAAAATTTCCATTTCAATTTGTAAGATGGTGAACATCTTGTTAGTGTTTCTCAGCCTTGTCAGACTTTTCTGTTACAAAGGGATTGGGGCTGTTTTACCCACAACTACCTGATATTCATGTTCCAGGAAACTTGTCCCTTCTGTGGGTGAGATTATACTGTGTTCAGACTGACATATTCTAGTTAGTAATTTACAGAAAAATCAAGCTTACTGGCCATCTTCATCCAAAGTCTACCCTTCCTTCTGGCAGGCAGAAAATGCTTGAAGGAGTCATTCTCAGTCAGTCTTGCAGTAGTTGCAGTTTGTGGAACAAAGTAGTGAATGATTATAGTTAGGGATGTTTGAGACAAAATAAATAATTTTGTAGAGTATAGTAATAAGAGTGGGAGTCCTTCCTCTTGCCAGGCTGTGTAATTGACAAGCTGCCTGCTTAGTGATCGGGAGCGAGCTGGCCTTTTACTCTTTGGTAGCAGAAACACTTTTATTGTTCATGACTTCTACCTGAAGTTAGAGGCTTATCTTAATGTAATTTCTCCTTCTAGTAATTTTGCAGTGTAGACTTGAAATGTCTATTGGGCTGAGATAACCCAGTTGTATACAAAATGGTACAACTTCCTTCTGTGTTAGCTGGTCATATTCAGGCAACTTTTGTATATATTTTGAATTTAATAAAGATAGTTAAATTTAATAAAGATAGATGTCTTACTGATATGATTTATTCCATCAAGTGCTTACATTAAGTATCTCAGTATGACATGTTTTAAGCTTTAATAAAAATGAAAACAAAACTCCTAGAGCTGTAATCAAAGTAGAAAATCATTAGTATCTGCCTATCTTGGAACACTTTTTCTAAGCAGAAGAAAAATTCTTGATTCATAGCACCACCTTCCTTATTTTGTTCTTATCCTTAAGTGACAGAGTAATGTCTGAAAAAGGACATAAACCAGAAAGACCAGTTCAAATTTAGGTTTCAGGGTAGCTGAGATGGGAAATCAGTGGCAGCATTGTTGCATTGAACTGATGCTGGAAACTGTACTTCTGTCAAACTATTATTTACCATGCTGCTCAGTATTGCTAAAATCAAGTTTTTCCTTTAAGTGTATATGTCAAATCTAACATTGCAATCTTCACACTGCTGAGAAGATTTGTGGAAATATTAATAGGAAAGCCCATTTTATATACAAATACTCTTCTCTGTAATTAGTAAAAAATCATTTCAAAACCATTAATATTTTATTGTGATGAATTTGTACAAAGTTTTTGAGAACAACTTAGAGTACCTGACATCTTTTTTAAGGAGCCTTTTAAACGGTCATAGTAATACATCCATAAATAAACTCCATTCTTCCCTATACTGCAACCGAACTTTCTCACGAAGGCAGTTTGCTTTTATGTAGAACTGGAAATGCTCTAGCATTTATTTAGACTTTAGATGTGCATGCTATCAAAGTTGGTTTTATTTTACATCTGATAGACATTTAAACAAACTTGGACAATGTAATTTGCTTGTATTGTATTCTTGTTTCTTACTGCAAGTTTAAATATCCCACCAAAGAACTTGTTAAGAATGAAGTTTGACAGTCAAAAATGCTTCCAGTCCTATTATGTTCTTAATTGGTAAGCTTGTTAGGGATTTAATCATAAGCCAGGTTCTTCTGAAAATGCCTGACTTTAAACAGGCTGTGGAGTGGTGAGATCATCATTGTCATGAGGAACATGCCTGCTCTAAAGAGAGGCAGGCAAAACCCTCAGTTCCGGTTTTGCTTGGTTCCCTGATGTGAAACGTGTGGCTTCCCCCTCTCCCAGAGAACTGGGATTGAAGTACAACCTGCTTGTGGATTAATAAGAGTTGTCATGAATTTAATATCAACTGAAATGAATCATCTGCTGGATTTACTTAGCTAAATGGAGTTACATTGTATTTCATTGTCACTGAAAACACAGCTTGGAAAAGAACAGCGGAGGTCATCTTTCTGTTTCTGTAAGGCATAACAGGATCACATATCTAAATAGTTCATCAAAACGTTAATTTGTCCTATTCTAAAGAGCAAAACACACCCCATCCCCAAAGATATATATTCCAAAACTTCCCAGAGAAGTCTATTTTAGCTTTTTATCCTTGTCTTTAAAAGTTTTCTCTAATGTCAAATTCTAATTTAAATCTTCATGCTGAAGTTTCAACTCACTGCTTTTTGTTCTGTTTGCTGCGGGCAGGATAACATTTTTTGAAACACATTAAAGGTAGCTCCAATGAGAATCTGTTGTGTCTTCAGGTTTTACTGCGGGAGAAGGGACAAGATTAATTATAAGATATACAAGATTGAAGTAATCTTTTAATGGTCTTCCTTACTGCTGACCTCTTTCCTTTTGGCTTGTGTTTCAAAGCCAAAATTGGACAAAATGCTTCAAATGAGAACTCTCGGTACCAAGTAGAGCAGAGGATTTCTTCATAATGTTGTAAATTACCTTCCTCATCTTGGTCTGATTAACATCCTCCCGTCCCTTTTTTTTCCTGATAGTAAGGGTGTGTTGTTGAACTTAACTTTCAAATATATCCTTAGATTTTTATTGATGACTGGGTAAGGGTTATGTCTTTGAAAACATGATCTGCAACAAATATGAATGAATAGTTACTGTCTTAAACTTGTCCTGGGAAATTATTTCTGTGAACTAACTGGGTATTTTCAACCTGTCTAACTCATAGTTTACGGAAGAAAAGCTTGGTCAAGCAGAGAAG